ACCCGCAATTGCAAATCAATTGTTACAATTAGTAATAATTTTGGCTTGTGAATAGCTATTGTAGATAAAAACTAGTCTGTCAAATAGGGTATAAATGTAACAGGTATTGCGCACTTATAATTTCAAAATTGTTTTGGTATGATAACAACAAATGGATACTTTAATATGACTGAACAGTTATATCACTATAATTGTTATCATAAAAATCTGACCCCGGAAGCATACATCACAACAAAACTACATGAAAATTGCATACTTTATTTGATTGAGTTTGTATATGAGTGATAATGAAAATAGGACAACATCCCTCATATCCCCTTTGCACCAGCTTGAGCGGTACTCAATTTTCTACACTTGAGGACCAGGAAAGTATAATAAAACTGAAATGAAGTACAGGCAACTTAAACACAATACGTATTCGTTTTTTTTTTCTTCCTGATTAAAATGTTATAAATTGCCTTGTTTAATTCTCACTACTTTCAATTGTTTGTTTTGCACAACGTGATCATAAAATAATTCAAACATTTTATGGGCGTCCTTCAGGGGTAATATGTTATCCATTTCTTTGAAAACAAACACGCGTTTCCTGCCTGATAAAATACACATGTATCGGATATGCAGTCATATAACCGAGTTCATTCATTTGGGAAACCAAAAGTCGAGTCAAGTTTTTTTTTAGAAAAAATAGCGTATGATGTCATATGCAAATGTTTTGTACGGGGAATGCAAGCGTTTTCCCGAAACAGATTTAAATAAACCAATGACTTCGCTCAAAATATGACAGTATTGATTCTTAAAATTCTTTGTATGAAAATTGCATCGGTTTTCATTTCACTCAGTTTTTTTTTGCATAAATAAGAGCAGAGATACACGGTGATATAATATTATACATAACTAATTCTTTTTAAGATTACTGACGAATTATATATTATTTTCCTATTAGTAATCATTACACACAAATCTAAAGGAACGCTTAACACGCTAAAATAAATAAAATAACAGCACTTATTGAATTTATTCTGCTCATGTAATATCAAACTCGCGTAGCCCTATAAATTGATTGATTGCAAATGAACGTATTTATGCACATACAACAAGAATTATCATTATGAATATTGTTATATGACAACTTAAAATATTTCAGTCATACGAATTATATCAGCTACCCATGGTTAATTTCGAAATTTTGAAAACCCCTTAAAGGTTTTTGAGAACATTCGAGTACAGTACGTTTTCATAGCCGAGGCTGAGGGAAACGGTACACATTCATTTATCACAACAAGCGATTTCTAGTAAATCTTCCGTTCTTTTTCACTGTTTCATAGCAAAATGAATGTCCAATACATCTAGTGAATGCAGTGATGTTTTAGTATATTTTCATAAGTTATGTTGAAATGGTACGGGACACACTGTTATTTTAAAAGATACGGTACGAACACATTTTAAGTCTAATTGAAATAATTCTGAAAAAAATATATGAAAATTTGCTTTTTATTTATAATGTGGGTGTCTTTTTTTCAAATTTACATATTGTGAAACCTTGGGCCCGTTTTGCAAGGTATCATTACATGATACGATTGTGATGTGATTATTACATGTAATTTCTTCTGTGGTTACATTATATTTTTGAATACATAATTTATTTTTCTTTGTAAAAAAATAGTCTGCATTTCAATATGTTTAAGTAACTGTCGTTCGACTCTTAAATGACATTTGTTGTCATTTCTTGTATTCTTGATAAATTTGACTCTTCCATGATTGGCAAACTAGCTAGTGCAGGGAAATAATATTTTATGTTTTACATTTCTGTTTCATAATGTTAACATTACATAAGTTTGACTCTGAAAAATGAAAAAAGATCAGGATGAATACAATATGGAGACAAAAAAAAACGAGGCTACATAAACTAGAGGTTTTTAACTAAAAAGATATATAGAATAATAAGAGGCTATATAGATAATATTGGATCCGACTGCGTTTAGTATTGGTATATCACGTGATGAAAACCCTGGACTTTCCATATCTATTAAGTCCCTAGACCCTAGCACATATTATGAAATTCGTACAATTAAAGTAGATTTACGTGTCAGTCAACAGCTGGCTTATTAATGCTTTTTCGGTTTATTTTACAGTTCCGTCATAAGTTCAAAACTTGAGTGAGTTACGAATACTAAATCTTATTAGTCTCTGATAGAAACCGGCGACTATATTTGTAACAATAGTATATCTATGGTAGGAGAAGGCAATAAAATAAATCTGAAAATGATGAACATTAAAAAAGGCATATTTTTCTGTGTTTACAGAAGCGCACTTTTGTTTACCTTGAACAATACAACGGTCTCATTTGTCAAAGTGATATAGGTAAAAAATATTAGATTTTTGAATACAAAGGTATTAAATCATTCAAGATAGAGCATATTCTTATCATATATTGATTTTCGGCTGATTTCATATCTAATAATGTAATTTATAGTAATAATACATTACTAAATTATTTAATTCGCACTGTTTGGATTTGCTATTTAAACATGAAATATTCAGACATTAAATTGCAAGTAAGGGTTTAACATATTGTGTCTTTTTTGACCTCATATAAGATATAAACGAAAATGCGCGTATATTTCAGGACAATAATACACATCAAATTCTATATGATAGTCGATAAAAGAACACGCTTTCTTGAAATTGAAAGGCCATATTAAAAAGATCAGCATATCTTTTTATCAACAGCATCTATAGAACATTTTTTACACGCAATTGCATGCACCCTGTGAAGATCAAAGCGTTTAAGATACCCCATGACAATGACAGAAAGTTCGTTAATCTTAAGCGTGATCTCGTTACAATTAATACACACAAAAACATTAACATTTTAAGTGTATACAAGTCAAATGTTGATGCTGCATATCAAAGACGCCGCCAAAAAATGTGAAAGTCACAGGTAATGTACAAAATCAGAATTGAAAATCGTTCTCTATTACAGTTGAATATCCGAAGCACTAATTAATTTTTTCTCCATGTTCTTGGTATGAGTCTGAAATTCTGAAATGTTTGTCAGTAGCGACAAATTGAAACGTCTGGTCGAAGCAAATACATTGGATAACAAGTGAAATTGAAATGAATGGTAAACTTAAAATAAATGCAAGACAATCTGTCCCGAGAATATGTCCATTTAAATATTGGTGCGAATTGCATAATGTTCAAATGATTTTGAGGACGAACTGTCTGTTATTTTAAACATAGCGAAAATATGTCTGTAATATCAAATAATAGTTATGAATAAATTGATATATATAATCAATTCTTTGTTACGTATTGTTTACTTATTTATAAAAGATTTAACTACTTCAGTAAACAAAAGATTGCATATTCGCCTATAATCTAGGCATGAGACCACAAAATGAAATTCAAAATCTAGGCAAAGAGAACAATCGTTGGTCACAGAATCCTTCAAAATAACCGATTGCAAATATATGTGATACTTTTTAACATAAATGTACTTTTTTCACTCAGTTAATCTGTTTTATAACTTAAATGATAATTATTTAAATGAATTACATGTCGCACACGTTTTGCCTGTTTTGCACAAAATATTTCCGCTGTGTCCGTAACGCCAACATAATTTCCGTTGCGTAATTTAGTGATACCTCTTGTTCGGTTGACGTCATTAGACTATAGACGGATCTGTGTTGAGTTAAGGGTTCAGGGAGAACCGCCTCTCTGATAGTGGGCGTGGTTTAGGCTTTGCAACTTGTAATTCATCAAGTAATATTGATCATAATTGTCCTGGTTCCCTCCACCACCCCCATTAACGAACACTAAATGCTAGCATATTGAATTTAGCGACAATTTAAGGCGGAGACGAACTTCAACAGAGGCGGAGCAAATGAAGTGAGTGACCCTGCTTCAGTCGTTACCTCTCTCAACAGTTAAGTTTTAGAAGCATCGACTATAGACTGACTCATTGGCACGTTTTTTATTAGGTAGATAAAATTAGATAATTATAAAAAGAATATGATATTTAAACATGACACTATCACTTTAGTTAAACGTTTATTTTAATCCCTTAAAGCTCTGTGACATGTTGTACATCAGACAAGCTATTTTTATTAGAAAATTTGAAAACAATGTGATTTTGTTAAAACAAAAAAAATGCACAAAATCAAGTCTAAAATAAATTTTTCCCCATTGCTATACGGACAAATGCATATCTAGTAGACGGCGCGTGCAGTAATGAAAATCGCGTTTCTTAAAAAGTTAAATTTTCAAATATCTACTTTCGTTTTATCAAATTTCTTTGGATCACTTCTTCAACAATTACTTGTAATATATACATGTTACAGCAAATTATTAATTGCAAAACATTTTATAATCAAATCGTGCGCGACATTCTATTAAAATGTTCTTTTGTGTTTAAATGATCCTTTTACATTAAACTTATAGTGTAATGATACCTAACAGGCCCCAGGGTTCACGTAGGATTAAATGAAATATATATGTATGAGAAAAAGACACTCACATTATAAGTAAAAGCAAATTTTCATATATTTTTCAGATTTATTTCATTTAGACTTAAAATAGGTCTTTTTAAATAACAGTGTGTTCCGTACCTTTTCAACATAACTTTATGAAAATATGCTAAAACATCACTACATTCAATAAATATATTGGACATGTAAGATTTAGCATTCATTTTCCTATGAAACAGTGCAAAAGAACGGACGACTTGCCTAGAAATCGCTTGTTGTGATCCCCGGCTATGAAAACAAAACTGTACCCGAATGTTCTCAAAAACCATTTAAAGGTTTTCAGAATTTGATTAACCGTGGGTAGCTGATATAATTACGGGTACTCTGCGCCTTGTCTAATCAAAATCGGTTGAGTAACAGCAAATTTATTGCTTAAAAGTCACGTGATATGGTCACATTCAAGGGAAATCCCCATTGTAAACCAGATGTTATTTAAATCCATATCACTATATAACACGCCATGTAAACCGCAATCTTTCCCATAGACAATTTAGTGTTAACGTATTATTAACCTTGACAATGGAAAAAATACTAAAAATCTTTTCGTTGGGTGTTCTTTTATTTGTTGTTGCCTGTTTGATAATAGTTTTAGCTTTAGTGTGGACAATGCCTGATTTACCTAAGACAGTTAAGAAAGGTGAAATATGTTTGCCTAGTGAAAATGGTCCACTCAAATGTGGATCAACCACTGACTTATTACATGATTATCTTGAACGGGTAAGTTTGAATTTTATTCTTTTCTCTTGTTTTTCATTTTTTCTTTACACATTCAAATACTTTTATATTACCCCTTGATCATCAAGAACAAAACTACTATCCAGCACCTGTTTGCTATATGAAATATACACAAGGTATATAACTAGCCGTAGCGAATGCCCCCGACACAGTAAACTTTTTACTCTCGCATTTCTTTTTGAATAAGACATATTTGCATACTTTAACATGCAAACATAGCACAATAGATTTATCTTTCAATAAAATATTGACCCATCTATTTTCGTTTATGAAATAAAATTAATTATCAAACGTGAAAATTACCTTAAAATTGCGAGGTTGACATGTTTTGTGCCAACGAAATTTCCAAATCTACAAAAGGTAAATGAATGTTGAGATGCTTACCATTGGTAAGAAATTATTCCAAGCATAAGACAGAAAACAACCTGTATTGATAATAAATCTTCTATAACACAGGCACTATCTTTTAGTACTTTCTTTCACCGGACACTGAGAACGGTTTCAGTAATGTAACTGCCCTAAGGTCCTTGCAATATTACATTTCGAGGTTGTCTATTCAAAATCCCAACAGATCTAATATTCCATCTGTTCTACTCCCTTGAAATATTACCTTTCGATGTTATCTATTCCAAATCCAAACAGATCTAATATTCCAGCTGTACTACTCCCTTGCAATATTACTTTTCGATGTTATCTATTCAAATTCCCAACAGATCTAACATTCCAGCTGTTTTACTCCCTTGCAATATTACCTTTCGATGTTGCCTATTCAAATTCCAAACAGATCTAATATTCCAGCTGTTCTTTCAAAAGAATTTTACCAGTCAAAATCAAAGCTGATTGGCCTGATTGACATGGGTTTTTCAACGGACTGGATTTATTCATTTCAAAATAAAGTTGCCTTAAAGGGCTGTTATGTCATAAATGTTGCAAAAACAGCATTTACTCTTTTTAAATACTGTGTAATTTTACTTTTGATTAACAGTACTCTGTAATTATTCATAAAGAATCGTTTTCTTTCCCCAAGAAGTTATGCATGTATGAAAAAATTACACTGACTAAAATTCTAAGGTATTGTCTGTGTTGAATTGTAAATGTTGTATTGAAAACTTAGGGGAGTAACTTTGTAGATACTACTTCTCTATGTCACGGTATTATTAAATACTTACATGAATATACGACTCCAGACAGTAACCAATTGTTAAATCTTTGAAGAATACAGTCAATACCATACAATTTCCTCGTGGAACTTACTTGTTTAACAAAAGACACCTATTCTCACGATAGTTGTTATTTTAACTTAAACATGTGTGTACTTTAACACATGTGTGTCAACAACACTATTTAATATAACATAGGAATAATATCGAAAAATTGAGACCACACTTCGTTTTTCACTTACTAGTGAGTAACCGCACATAGTTACTGAAATAACAACCATTTTTTGTGGTATTTCAGTTCTTCATACCAAACATAGTACATGTACCATTTAACGTTTTATACAAGAGTCAAATAATAAAATAATTTGAATATGTACTAAAATATTTCTTATTTTGTTATTTGAAAATCAAAGGTATATGACATGACTATTTATTCAACAGACCATTGTCATACAGTATGATGAAGCCAAAAGGCAAGATAAAAAGAAACAGCAGGACTATCTTGATGGAAATAGAGCCCGCTTAATGAATATTTATGACAAAAGTTTCTGGGAAATGAAACCAGCAGCAAAACTCACTGGAAAGGAGCAATCGAATTTGCGAAAAAGTATGCTTGTTTTTCGTTTTCTCTTTCTTCTTTCCGTATTTGTATTTCTGCTATGAGAACACTTTGAAACAGTTTAAAACAACCAAATATCGACGATCATTAATGTAGAAGATTATTTATTTGTAATTGAGTATTTACTATTGTTTTCCAGTTGACATTGGCGCTGATATGGTTCCTATTAGAGATTGGTGTAACGGTAGAGAACTTTATGATACAAAAGGCTTTATAAGATATGGAATTAGATACAGAAATGGTCGACTTGTTGTTCCAGTAGACGGCACATACTTTATTTACTCTAATCTTGATTTTTTTGAGTCTTGCAATCCTTCATCTGGTTTACCAGATGTCAAAGATATCAATAAACCAATTAAACATGGTATTTTTAAATTCAATATTCTTGAAGGTGAGGAAAACGAATTAGTAACAAATGTACAACCGCATGCTATCTCTACCAACCGATACTACAATTCATATAATAGCTATGTCTCGTCACTGGTAGAACTAAAAGCTGGTGATGAACTTTCAGTTAAAGTTAGCAATATTTCATACATAAGATACACAAGGGACAATTATTTTGGAGTAAATCTAATATGACGCTATCCTCACCCTGGGAAACACGTGCCCGTCGTGGTGAGGGCACAATACGTCAATTTCAATACATTATACTCTGCACATGACGTATTGACCAAGTTTCCCTTTAAGGTATTACCATCCTAATGCATCATCCGCTTTAAAGGGTATTCAAGGAGGCTAAAACTACTGTTAACTACATTGAAAATGAGGGCCGTGGGTTCAATCCCCAGAAGAGTCAACTTTTCTTTCTTTTTTTTTCTTTTATCATTATTTATGTATATCTCATGTCCAATTTGGAAAGAAAAAAGTGTTTAATTTTGATTTTTTTAATTTATATAGGTATTTATTGGCTAAATTCTGCTAAATCTAGTAATAAATATGGTACCTGATATTTTCAAAGTGTAATAAAATCAAAACTAGACGGTAAAAGTATTTCATATTTTACAAGATCCACCAATATAATTCTTTAAAATTTAGGGAAACTTTGAAAACAGGCACTCATTTGGGTATTTTTTTTTTAAATAGGCTCCCTAAGTAGGCAAATGGTCAGACACATGGTAAAAATGGATGGGGTAGGGTAACATTTTTATACAGATTTCATAAACTTTAAGTAGAAACCATAATTTTGCTTATGTGGATTGTTAGCTGAAAGGTATTTTTTGTTTTTTGACCAAAAATAATGGGAAGACAGTTTTCATTACAATGTTATTGCAGATTATTTAAAGGTTCCTCATTTCTAAAAAGGCCCTCATAACATTCTAGCTTGAGTTCAGAAAAGTGACCATAACTTGATTTCCGTACGGTAAACTCTGTTTAAATTTTGCATACAGGTGTATTTTAAGGTATATATCTGACCAATGATATCATTTTTTTTAGTTCCTTAGAGTGCCCATTTGGGTGGTAATACCTTAACTCTACAAAGGAACTGTTCTTTATGTGTCCAAATATTTTGTTACTACATTATTTTTTTACTGTAATTAACTATAACAAATATTTTAGGTTATTTTTGATCAGTACAAACAAATGGGTATCTGCTTAACAATTGATAGTGGGGATTGGTTGGTGGTAGTGTCGACACACAACTGATACAGCAACATTTCTTTCCTTGTTTTCTTTTCTTCCCTCTTCTATCTTTCCATCTTAAAATGAAAATGTATTGTTACTTAATGCATATTTACTTTAATGTATAACTTTCTTTACTTTATGAAACTGATGTTAATCATTTACAGGGAAGGGCCCACGATAATGTTGTAAAAACTTTTGGCCCAACCCTTTTGTATATTGTATAATTTTGTTAATGTAACTGAATTGATGTATATTTATATATGCAATAAAATATTATTAAACTAAATATTTTGTTCTGATAATTTTAATTTCCCTTAACATGGTTTGGTTTGAGTTTTCACCTTTTCCGAACTTTTTATAACCGTTTTTCATACACGTAAAAAATCTTAAAAATGTATAATGCTCAACAGTAACAGAATGTTATAAATTTCAAGTTGTTCATAATTTTCTTGCAAATATTCCATTTCGGTTAAAACCTATTGTCCTTTGGATTGTTTTAAAATAATAACATGTTGTCTTTAAATATTGTGTTATACCTTAGATATAAAATATTGGAAAAATCGGGTATTTCAAGTGTTTTTAGAATGTCAAGACACACTTGAAGAGTATTTGCCTTCAATTGCAGTTATTCGTAAAGAACACGACTTGCATGTATTGTTTCAATCGTTTATTTAGATTTAACTTTGAGAGTTTTGTACCTAGAAATTTCATGTGAAGTACAAGTAGTATAGATGCCAAATTAATTTGAAACATAATTATTTGAAACAGTCACATAAAACAAAAAAAACTTTCATGCTAACGCATTTCTGTTTAAAAAGGAAATGTTCGACTTTTTGGTTATCATAAAACTTGAGTGACAGCCTTCTTATTATAATTGCATATGGAGTCTTCACACTCTTACTTCATGTCTTAAATTTTTCATTCGATTATTTATAATGCTCTTTTAACCATTTGAACAATATGTTGTCCGAATGTACAGACAAAATATAGTAACGATTTTAATGAAAACAAATTGTACTTGTTTTTTAGCCCTATAACTTCACGTTGGCACAGAAGTGAGATATTTATTAAGACAAAATATTAAGATTTTAAACTTTCAAAAATAAAAATTTTACAATTAAAGGGAATCAAGTTTAAGATCAAGCACACTCTTTTGATTAACTGTTAAAGGCGCTGATCTTGTAAAGATGTATTGCTAACATTATATAAACATGCTTTTTCAAGTACACATCAAGTTATAATTGAAAATTAAATCTATGAGGAGAATTAACCCATGAAAAAGTTATAAAAGAATATTGTTTGCACATTAAATACTAAATATATACATTAATTTTTATTTCAAATTTGTCAAATTTTCGTAAATCGCAATACTTTGGACACAGATATAATTTTTCTATCATAGTCATAAAACATTTCATGTTTTTGGACAATGATCGAGTTACTTTCCTTGTTTAATGAATACTTTATTCATCTGTTGATAATCGTCATGTTGTCAGTGTTATTTCAAATTTGTTATTTTGCCATATCTTGAATTTACATGCGGAAAGCTTCTATATATGTATGTCTTATTATCTGTTAATGATTGTTTATAAATGACAAACAATTCTCTGAGTGTCTGTAGTAACTGTAATTTTTCATTACATGTGAAAGCAAGGCATCTGACTGACCCGTTTTAGGTCACAAGGCCTTTTGCATACCCAGCCCAATTTATACACCTATAGCCATTTCGTATGCCATTAAATGATTTTTCAAAATATTTTTGAAAATAAAAAGTCTAGTACAATGTATAAAAAACATGTTTTACATGTTTTCATTTTCAGTGTATGCTATTTATTTTTATGCATATGTTAATAATGCCATATGTCATGTTATTGTTAATAAAAGAGACATAAGTTATAATGATATAGCTATATTTATCTCATTTTTTATATTTGTTCCATGTTTTCTTAAGGATGTACTTAACGGTCTGGCAAGAATAATTACTACGCATCGTCTTTTAAACAATTGTTCAATAGTCTACAAACACAACTCTGGCCAATGTTATTTCTGAGTTCAATTGCACAATTGTTCTGTATCTATTTTACAAAATGCTACAATATCGTTTCTCATGGCTAGTTGTTACAACAAACAGTATTTCTGGCCAGTTTGTATTGATCCAGAACAAAAGTATGTCCAAAGTAACTACATTCCTATCACTTGCAACATGAATTTGTCATTCTGGAACAGATATAGTCTAAGATATCTATTAAACGAAAGAGGACGTTATCTCGTGTTTCTTTTCTGGTTAGCTCTGCTACTGAGAACTGTTTTAAAAGCTTCATTGGTATCGTCGTAATGATCCGTAATGATCGTCTTTTGTCGCATATTCCATTTAATTCATATTTTATTACAAAAGGTTAATGCACTTAAATCTATCTTCGCTGTAGAGGGGGAAAATGCTGTTAATCTTCCACAAAACGCTGCAGTTAGGTACAAATCAGTCTTTATATAAACTTGCCATCCTTCAACAATGTGCTCTATTGACGGGGCCGTACCTGGCAGCTTAACGTCAACAATTCTTAGAATAGAATAGAATAAACTTTTATTTCCAATAAATGGCCTTGTTAAATGACATATACATCACAATAATTATGAGATCAAAGATCAAATAAAAGTGTATACGAAAATAAAACTTGATTCGTATTACAGCAATAACAATGAACTGAAAAAAATAACAAAACAAATTTTAAACTAAATTTTGCTAAATATATATAACTATTAAACATCATATAAAACATCTAATGATACTTAAATACAAAATAACGGTATTGTGGTATCTAATTTTAAGCATTTTTTTTTAAATTACAAGTCTTTACAAAAAATATGAAGATTATACCTTTAGTGTAGCTCTACTGCAAAGAAGCATTCTCAAATTAACCTAACCAAATGCACAGTAGGTAGAAATTAAAATTCTAAATTCAAGGAGAACTACACTATACAAAATTCATGTCTCTAAAAAGCACAAATACTGAGTGACTATAATTTACAATATTTCAGTATTATTTCTGAGTAAAAAACAAGTAAACAAAAACCCTGCAAATTGTTTTACGATTATTTCATAGTCATTGCTAATTAACCAAATAAATTTGCTTATCTCTGACAGATTTTCATAGTTTTCAAATTCCTGTCATTTATTTCATTACTGTATATAAAATGCTGAGTTGACTAGTAAAAGCATTAGACGCAGATACGAAGTGAAGCTAGTCTTAGACTTCATTCGGGTTGCATACCTCGCAAAATCTTTTATCAGACTTGACTTTTTATATCTCCCAATCTTTATATGTAATTTGTGAGAACTTATCCTTATCTTTGTAAAAAAGTTCTAAAATCTTTATCCTTGATTACTGCTCAATAAGGTTCCCTCTATAGACCTTTCACACTAGACAAAAGAACGGTATCACATATAATAAGCAACAAAGGGGAATGGTAACAAGCATAACTGGATCATATTCGATGTCAAATAATTGATAAGCAATTTAAACAGGTTTGGGCTCAGAATATCGCCTTGTCTAAAACAGATTTCTAGAGTAAAATAATGACTGAGTGAGTTTTCTAGATGAACATGAATTTCATTCTCATGATAAATGTTTTTGATTATTATATAGGACTACCTAATTCAGTTTATGAAAAGGTAAAGAATGCATCACGCTGTTTATAGCTTTAGAATAATCAGCAAAACATGCATGCATTTTCATTCAATTATTCAAATCAGTGTTTTTAATACAAACATGTGATCTGAAGTATTTGCCTTTGGTTGAAAGCCAATTTGTTCCTTATTAAACATATATAATGATACTTAATTACAAAATTACGGTATTCGTGTACCTTGTGATTGATAACTTTATTATTATCAAAAAGGTTTTGTAATCTATTATTAAGAATACTGATAAAATGTGAGACAGGCCATAATTGATACTACTCTGTAATAAGAGGGATCATTTGGTCTAGCACTCTTGTTTAGAGGTGTTATATATCCAACTTTCCAAGGAGTTGAGTATTTGTCTAATGACAAAATAGTATATACAAGGCATGAGAACCTGATAACCTGTCTTCATCAATTCATTTGAAATAAAATCTAACCCACAACCTTTCTATTATTGCCTTTTTAATTTTCCCTCTGACCAATTCTGAAATCTAAATTTGTAAAAGTTTAAAACAGTTGTCGTAGAGGAATAAGGTGGAGCCAATTATGTAAATAAATGAAACACTCTTTTTAAATGAGAATGCATCTTTAGAAAACTTAAACAAGTGAATTTCACTACTTTTGTTATCAAGTATAGATATACCAGATTTAATATACTTTTAAATAAATATAAGCATGGTCCAGAAAGAGGCAGAGGAAAATTATCTTCATTCGGTCTATTTATCAAGTATGTTTAATATTCAGATATAACTATTTTACTTATATCCGCACATTTTGCTTCTTGCAGACATAAAATATCATATGATTTTATACAGTTAATGTAAGACATGTCAAAAAAAAAAGAGAAAAAAAATCACAAAAATCTGAACCAAGATAAAAAGTTCTTTATGTGTACAGTTTTCTTACTGAAGTAGGTTGAAAGCATTATTAACCAAAACAGCTACTCGCTCTTTACCAACATAGTGTCAGCAATAATCTACATGGAAAGTTTATTAGCATTATTTTATGTTGTCATTCATGTAAAATTTATAACAAAGGTGACTTTACAAAACGTAATTTACTTAAGTATTTTACAAAATCTGTATTATTTCTTTTTTAGACGACTTAACATTTATTTCGGCTAAACCACAATGGAAAGAGAAATATGAAATTCTAGTTCTCGTTTTACGAAGTGTTTATATCATATACCAGTATATATTTTCTTACTATTTCATCTTCATAACTAAAGGCTTAAATATACAAATATAATCCAAAATAGGCACTATATCTTATCTAATTGATTTCACCAGTACATATTTATATACCAAGAATAAACAACACAAAATTCACTTTTACAAGAAATGTCGAACGACACATACACCCCCTTTCTAGACCTTGTCTCATACCATAAGTAACTTAGTTAAAGAAACATGCCATAAATGGGTTCATGGAATTGTTCATTTAATGGAAAATAAAAAAATGACCTACTTTATAGTTATAACTAATTAATAATTATGTGAAATTTGAAGACTTACTGATATATAGTTTGCAAGACAATGAGCTAAAACCATTCTGACATTTAAAGCGCCTGTGACCTTGGCCTTTGATTTTGTGAGGACGATTCT